TTGTAAAACAGAGATGCAATTTCCAACCTGGTATCTAGTGTAATTTCATTACTGTGCAAGCCACAAAAAACGTGTGTTAGTGAGCGGTAATGACACCTTACACACAGCCAAACTATCCCGATTTCTGCAGAAGTATTGCATGCTGCACATGGAAAAATTAAAGCTGTGCAGATGGACAGAATGTCATCAGGTTTCATTTTTGTCTATTAAAGGACACACTCATTCTTTCCACCCACATGCAGGTTACAATCACTTATTTCTGGGCTACACCCACAGCCTTAGACTACTGAGGTCCAGTCCTTCCATCTAAAGCAAGGAGAAGATTTGTCCAGGTAACATCCTCAATTCACTGCTCAATGTGGGGGTGACATTACTCCTACTATCAAGGCTGATATCACCAAAATTTTTTGGTACCCTACTATGAAACAACAGAATACCATCCATGGCATGACAAACCTACTCCAATAAGTAGTTGGACCCTCGCTGGAAAAACACTCAACTCTTGCCCTTCCCTGCATTTCTTCCCCAGAGTGGTCCTCTTGTTTCAGCCGGGAGGGAGATAGGAGCACATGGCAAGAGGTAGGTCTCAGTTTCCTGCTGCCCATCTCTCTACACTACTTCAATCTCTTCATTAGCAGACCCAAACAGGGCAGTAGCATCCACTTGTCTTTCCACACAGAGGTATATTTTAGGCTTTTTTAATCTCAGGTTAAACACTTGCTATTTGTTTTTAAAACTCTCAGAGGAAATGTTACCTGGTTATACAGAGCCTCCACATCCTTGCAGAAGACCTTTGCAGCCCAAGGATAAGACACTTCTCACAAGCCTGCACAGATGTCACACGACAAACTTTAGCCCTTTAAGTTCAATTACAACAAAAATGAAGGATGGATACATAAAAAGTGTAGCTCGAATTGCAGCTGGACACCATCAAGGAACACAGCGCCCAGTGCACTTCCCTATTTCTTGCTCCTAATGAGAGACCGTGTCCAAATATGTGGGGTATTAATACCATTTCTAGAGCTCAGGGAGAGTTTTTCTCCTGGGGATCAGGAGTTGTTTGCCTACTCAGAGCCAGCAGAACCCTGAGACACTGTCACAAAGAGAAGGAATAGGGACCAGGAGAAAGGATCAGGTTTAGAGAAAACTTTCCTTGAGAAACTCCTTAGGCTTCACACAGCATCTATCCAGTGCTTTCACCCTGGGGTAGAATGAGATGTGGGGTTCAGAGGGTACTGCCCAGATGAACCTTTCTCCCTGGTACCTCCAGACTGGAGGAAGGGAGCAGGTGGGTTACTCTCCTGGGCAGTGACCCCACAGTGTCCCTCAGAGACCACTTCCTTTGCCCTGGGCTTGGCCGAGGGCCACGGAGAAGGGGTGGCAGGAGGAGAAGAGCCTTTGCCAAATGCTGTTGGGGTGACCACTACCATGTGGCAAAACCAGCCAAGGAAAGCAGCACCAGAGGGGCCATGGCTTTGTCCTCTTCAGTGGTTTGCAGACAAACCTAGGCTGACAGCAAGGATAATATACCCCAGTCACACTTTTACTGTACACCAATGAAGCTGATGCTCAAAAATGAGCTACAGATCAATTCCCAGATTCCTTAACCTTAAACTAATGTTTGCTGAACTAATGTCTGAGATAGGTGCAAGAAATGTTCCTCTCACTGAGGAGGTGCAGCTCCCTCAGGACATCCTTCCAGGCAACCCCAGAGACCCACGCCTGCTCCCACAAAGAGGAAGGACTCACATCCAGGGCACTACAGCTCAAACACATGCATCTGAATCACTGTTTAAAAAGCTAAGAGAGAAAAGAAAAACAAAACCAAGACTGCACCCTTCTGAACAGGCAATCCTGACCCTCCAAGATATTTACAGCAATCTGTAAACTGTTTTTCTTAATTTCCAGTGTGAAAGAATGCTGACAAAAAGCCATAAAGCAGAGCACAAGATGACTGAGTATAAAACTAGTTTTCCCCACTCCCCTCCCAAAACTATGATAAAAATCTTAACGGAAAGAGATTCTTTAATTTGTCTCTCACCCACAAAGAGCAGGAAGATCTCTGGGAAGGCTGAAGGATATAATAAAAAGGCACAGCACATATTTCTTATCGGTGTTTGAACAAGATGTGTTTATTCTTTTGGCAATGCATTAATTTGATTTTAGCAAACACTCCAAACTCTGCATCATCATCTCAGCCAAACTGCAGAATAATCCAGAGTCCCCAAAGGGAATCTCTATTGCTTTCATCCTTCCCTCCCAGCACCCCAGAAACTTGGACAAGGCTGGACAAACTTGCAGATACTCTCTTCACACACAATTTTGTGCACATTCCCCTGCAAACTTTTGTGCACAACACCTAAAATTCCAGATGTGGAGATGAAGTAGGAAGACAAAATGACATCCAAAGGGTTCCTGTTCATCAGCATCTCATCACCTCATTATAACCACCCCAACATCTCTCTCCTTTTCACATCTCCTACTCATAAACACACAGGAACAGATCTCCAGGGTCATCAAGTCCAGTGCTCTGCCAACAAAGAGCTTAATTGTTCTTATAGTCAACCCAGATCAAATGCTGGGCTAGATTAAGCTGGAAAAGTAGTTGGGGCAGGTTCCACCTCTGCCCTTTCAGGCCAGTGATTCACTTCAACACCCTTCTTTCCCCTCTCTCAGCTTTTCTCAATCAGATTTTGACCACTTGGGAGGAACTCCTCATCTCACCACAGCATTCGGCACTGCGCTCACGGGCATGGGCACCGTCGGGCCGTGGGCGATGGTGCGAGCTCACCACCCTGGCCTCGCAGCCCGCGCCGGGGCTTGTGCAAGGGCTGGTTCCCAAGGTGGAGCACACTGCACCACCGGCCGGTGGGGAGGGCAGAGCTCGGCATCTGCGAGCAGGCAGCAAGCATCCTGGGGTGCATGGGCAAAGCACCTCAAGAAGCAGGTTTCAGGTGGAAAAGGACTCCCCGCTTTCCATTTCAAAGTTTTATTTCAATAGGGGAAGGTGGAAAAAAATTATTCCCCCTCCCTTTGTCTGTTTTAAACCCAAACTATAGTCTCTACCAAGTTTTTCATGAGTTGGTATGGCCTCCTTCTGCCCAATCCAACAACAGCTCTAAAATCTGAACTCCAGTAAGCACCAGTTGCAACAAACTTCTATTTTACATCGAGAGGTTTTTTTGGTTTTGCCTTTTTTTTTCTTTTTAAAGAAACCATGACAAAGTCCACATCTTGTTTTCAAGCTTAGGATGGGTGAGGTTCATCACCAATGTATTTTAATTGAGCACTAACAAGTCTCTATCTCTCAAGACAAATCATTGGAAAACCTGCTCCGGAATAAAGCCAATTCAATGTTAATTGGGATTTCTTTCCTCAGCATGCAATGCTTCACTGGATGAACAAAGTCAGTGCACCATGTTCAAATCCAAAAAGGGGAAAGGCGGGGTGAGGG